GTTTTTGCTGACTGTATAGAGCTTCTCCATCTTTGGCTGCAAAGAATATAATCAATCTGATTTTGGTGTTGACCATCTGGTGATGTCCACGTGTAGAGTCTTCTCCTGTGTTGTTGGAAGAGGGTGTTTGCTACGACTAGTGCGTTCTCTTGGCAAAACTCTGTTAGCCTTTGCCCTGCTTCATTCTCTACGCCAAGGCCAAACTTGCCTGTTACTCCAGGTATTTCTTGAGTTCCTACTTTTGCATTCCAGTCCCCTATAATGAAAAGGACATCTTTTTTGGGTGTTAGTTCTAGAAGGTCTTGTAGGTCTTCATAGAACCATTCAACTTCAGCTTCTTCAGCATTACTGATCGGGGCATAGACTTGGATTACTGTGATACTGAATGGTTTGCCTTGGAAACGAAGAGAGATCATTCTGTCATTTTTGAGATTGCATCCAAGTACTGCAGTTGGGATTCTTTTGTTGACTATGATGGCTACTCCATTTCTTCTAAGGGATTCCTGCCCACAGTAGTAGATATAATGGTCATCTAAGTTAAATTATGTTTGAAGAAAAACATAACTGGTTTGCAAATTCCAAAATAGTTCAGAATGGCATTTTCCAAGTATAAACTGAAGAAGACCAGTCTAATGAAATATTCAGCAAATTAGTATTATGTAAGTAGGAAAAACTGTATAATAAAGCCCCTTTTGGAGACTGATATGTTGTGAAGTCTTAGAATAAGGATACCATTTAATAGTTTTGTCCCCATCATTTCCCAAAATGATTTTACTAAAGTAGCCTTTTAAAGTAAGATTTTTCACATTTGTCAATGTGGCATTCTTTGACACATACTGTGATAAACCCTGGATTCAAATATTTCAGGTTTACCTGTTTTTCAGTGATGAGTCTTTTCTAATGATTTGCTGGACTCCTTGGCTTTAGGGGCTGCTATAGATACAATTTCTTTTGTAGAGTCAAAAGAAGTTGAGATTGGCAATAAAAATTGAATTGCCTAAATTCAAAAAAAGTGCAATAGGTGTTAAAGAAAATTATATTTAAAAGAACCTACTACTCTTGGGCAACTTAAGCATTTCTATGCCAAAACTTCTGTGACTTCTAAGAAAACTAATTTTTAGAATTTTATAATATTCTCCTCTAAAATGAAACATTATGGGGTTTTACACACATAAACACAAAGAAAACTATTTGTTTTAACTAGGTAATGTGAAAAGCAAATGATGCTAATAAACATTTTTTGGAAACTGCTTCCCAAAAAACCGAAAGAATTGTCTGAATTCATTAGTTTAACAATTAATTCACTAGCCTAACTCAAAGGGTAAATTAAATGCCACATTCTTAGGTGGTCTTTATTCCTAAGTAGATCAAAGGCTAGCAACACAACGTATTCTATTTGACTGGCACACACACAAGTTTATAATTCAGTCTACCCTCCCATCACATGCTCTTGTTGTCTAAGACTCTGCCATTCTATATTTCCTTGAAATCTTATGGTATCTAACTCTTCCTTTGCAGAGGCACAATCATACATACATATTCATTAGCATCATGGAATCTCACAACATGAGAGAACCTTGGAAAGTGTTTAATCCAACAACTCTAGCTGTCCAGAGCTGGCAGGAAAGAGTGCTGGGAGAACTGTACCAACATATCAGATGATATAACCATGTGAGACCCAGAGAAGTAAAATGATCCTCCCTGCTGCTAGTTTAGTTTTTCTTGCAAATCACCCGTCTGTCCTACTTCTGCTTCAGAGAGTGAAATCCACCAATACTAGTTACCAATAATTCATTTTCAGCTAAATCTAGGAACATGTTGCAAATTCTCCAATTCTGCCATTTTTGCTGCTGACATCATAGAGTACTCTCTCCCCTTTAAACTCTGGTCTCTAATGCACTATGTTCATCTCTCTCACTTTTATTTAAATAAAGATACTTTTTAAAAACTATCAGCCAGCTTCAGTGGCTAACACCTTTCAACTAGTTTTTAAACTTTTCACTAGAGAAATTTTTAAAAATACATACAAGTAGAGAAAGAGTAAAATGAACCCATGTATATTCATTAACCCAAGATCAATAATAACCAACATTCTTCCATATTTATTTCATTTCTCTTACCCACTTTTATTTCAGTACTCACCTCCAATAAATATAGACTCATTTTAAACATAACTTCAATACCACTGTCACACCCAATTATATTAATTCCTTACTATCACTTAATATCTAGTCCATGTTCAATTTTCCCCCAAATGTCTTAAAAATATCTTCTTTTTTTTCCCCCAAATCAGAATCCAAACCAGGTTCACATATAACACTCCTAAATGCATATGTGGGGAATTAGAAAGCTAGTGCATGTACCCAGAGAAAGGTGTAGGCTAAAAAAAAACCTCAAGTTTATAGGTCAGGCTGATCCTCAACACAAAGACAGCCACAATTTAAAACAAAGAAAAACAAAACCCAGCAAACCATGGCAAAGAAAGAGAATCTTATTTTCATAGATATTACTAGATTAAAATCTCCAGTTTTCAATAAAAAGTAAAGCAAAGAATCTGGAAAGCATGACTCATTCAAAGGAAAAAAAATATCAAAAGAAACTGTCCCTGAAAACAAAACAAAACCTGATGGCAGATCTACTACACAAAGCATTTAAAACAACCACCTTAAAAAATTCAAAGAACTAAAGGAAGATGTGGAGGAAAAAATAAGAAAAAATATATGATCAAAAGAGAAATATCAGTAAAGAGACAGAAAACAAATTAAAAAAATCAAAAATATTCTGGAGTTGAAAAGTGTGATAACTGAAATAAAAAATTTACTAGGGGCATTCAAATGCAGATTTGAGCAGGCAAAAGGGTAAATCCCTGTAAGTGTGAAGGTAAGACAATGGAAATTATCAAGTCTAAAGAATAGAAAAAAAAAAAAAAAGACTGAATAAAAGTGAACCTTACCTAAAGAACCTGTGAGACACCACCAGTTGTGTTAACACACGAATTGTGGGAGTCCCAGAAGGAGAAAAGACAGGGTGGCAGGGAGATTATGAAATGATGGCTGAAAACTTCCCAAATTTGTTGAAAGACACAAACTCCTAGAAACAGAAACTCAGAGACCTACACCAAGAAGTACTACAATCAAGCTTTTGAAAGAACAAAAAATCTTGAAAGCAGCAAGGGAGAAGTGACACATCACACACAAGGAATCATCAGCAAGATTACCAGCAGGTTTCTTGACAGGAACTTTGGATACCAGGAGGTAGTGAGAGGATATATTTCTTACTGAAAGAAAGAAACTGTCAGTCAAGAATCCTATGTCTGGCAAAACTATCCTTCAACAGTGAGAACAAAAGAAAGATATTTCCAGATAAGCAAAAGTTTAAGGAGTTCCCTACCGCTAGACCTGCCCTGCAAGTAATGGTAAAGGGAGTCCCCCTGGCTGAAGTGAACAGACACAGACAGTAAAGCAAAGCCACATGGAAGGCCAAGTATCTCAATAAAGGTGAATGGCATGGGAAACACACGGGCAACTATAAAAGCTGCTACTATCATAACAAAGATGTGTAACTCCACTTTTTGCTTTCTACATGACTTAAAAAACAGATCATTTTTTAACAAAACAATCATTAGTCTAAAGCTAATATTATTATAACTTTGGTTTGTAATGTCACATATTTTCTACCTAATTTAAGAGACTAACTCATTTACTAGAATTCTTAATTTGTTTTCAGGCACACATGTATAAAGATGTAACTGTGCAACATCAACAGCTGAAAGAGGTGGGGATAGAGCTGTAAAGCAGCAGAAATTTTATACGTTATTTAATTGAAGCTGTGATCACTTCAAATTAGTGTTATAATTTTATAATGGTAAATGTAATCCTCATGTTAACCACAGAGAAAACAATGATAGAACATATAGAAAAAGAAAATATTCTGCTATTTAAAAAAAATCAACTAAACACAAGAAGACAGTAATACAGGAAATGAGGCGGGAAAAAAGCCATAAGATGTTACCAAAAAATAGCAAAATTACAGATAGTAATCCCCTACCTGTCAGTAATCACTCTAAATGTAAAAGGGTCAAACTCTTGACAGACTGGTAGAATGAATTTAAGAAAATATGATCCAACTATGTGCTTTAAACAAGACCCATTTTAGAGCCAGAGACACAAAGAGATTGACAATGAAAGAATGGTAAAGGTATTTCATGAAAATAATTTTTAAAAAAAAGAAAAAGAAACTGTAGCTATATTAGTACTAGACAAAATAGACTTTAAATCAAAAAAGGCCACTAGAGACAAAAAAGGACATTACATATTAGTAAAAGATTCAATACAGCTATTAGAATACATAACAATTATAAACACTTATGCACTTAATAACAGACCATTAAAACATGTGAAGTAAAAATTGACAGAACTGAAGGAAGAAATAGTTCTACAATATAGTTGGAGATTTTAACACCCCATTCTCAAGAATACATAGTAATCAGACAGAAGAAAAGTAATGAAACAGACAATGTGACAGAGTAAAACAACCAGATCTAGTAGATTTATAAAAAACACTCTAGGGAATTCCCTGGTAATCCAGTGGTTAGGACTCCATGCTTCCACTGCAGGCAGCACGGGTTTGATCCTTGGTCAGGGAACTAAGATCCCACAAGCTGATCAAAAAGAAAAAAAGAAAAGAAAAGAACACTGCTCAACAACAACAGAATACAGTCTTCCAAGGGCACATGGGACATTATCAGGAAAGACTATATGTTAAACCACAAATTAAGTCTCCACAAAGAGGTGACCTTAGAAATCAAAAACTAAAACAAAAATTCATAAGTTTATGGAAATTAGACAACACATTTGTAAATAATCAATGGATGAAAGAAGAAATCACAAGAAAAATTAGAAAACTTTTAAGATATTAATGAAAACAAAACACAATATTTCAAAACTTATGGGACACAGTGAAAGCAATCCTAAGGGGGAAATTTAAGAGCTACATTAAAAACATGAAAGATCTCAAATTAACAACCTAAGTTTGCAACTTATGGAACTAGAAAAAGAACAAACTAAACCCAAAGCTAGCAAAAGAAAAAAAATAAAGATTAATTAGAGCAGAAACAAAGGAAATAGAGACTAGGAAAGCAATACAGAAAGTCAATGAAAGACATCTGGAAAGATCAACAAAAATGACAAATTTTACCTGATGAACAGGAAAAAAAGAGAAGACTCAAATTACCAAAATCAGAAATGAAAGTGGGAACATTACTACCAATTATACAGAAAAAAGTATTAAACAATATTATGAACAATTGTATGCCAACAAATTAGATAACCAACATGAAATGGACAAATTCCTATAACACAAAACCTACCAAGACTGAATCACAGAGAAATAGAAAATCGCAATACATCTGTAACTAGTAATGAGACTGAATCAGTAATCAAAAAACTCTCCCTGAAAGAAAAGCCGTGGACCAAGTGGCTTCACTGAGGAATTCTACCAAAACATCTAAAGAACTACTAACAATTCTTCTCAAACTATTCCAAAAAATTAGACAAGGGAATACTTTCTAACTCATTCTTAGAGGATAGCATCACCTTAATATTAAAAAGTCAGACAATACAAGAAAAATAGTAATATCCCTTACAAGCACTGATGCAAAATACTAGTAAACCAAAGGTTTCCCAGGTGGCTTAGTGGTAAAAAGTTTGAGTGCCAATGCAGGAGGCACAGGAGACGAGGATTTGAACCGTGGGTTGGGAAGACTCCCTGGAGGTGGAAATGGCAGCCCACTGCAAGTATTCTTGCCTGGAAAAATCCCATGGACAGAGAAGCCTGGAGGGCTATAGTCCATGAGTTCACAAGGGTTGGACATGACTTAAGAAACTGAACATGCACACACTAGTTCAACATATGAAAAGAAATCAGTGTGTTACATATTACATTACATTAACGGAATGAAGAAAAAAACATACAATTGATGCAGAAAAAGCATTTTACAAAATCCAACACCTTCTTGTGATAAACACTCAACAACTAGGAATAGAAGGAAACTAACTCAACAAAAGATCCCCTGGAGAAGGAAATGGCAACCCACTCCAGTATTCTTGCCTGGAGAATGCCATGGACAGAGGAGCCTAGGGTAGGACATGATTGAGGCAAACCAGCACACACACAACTCAGCAAAAGCCATATATGAAAAAGCTACAGCGAACATCATATTCAATGGTAAAAGACTACAAGCTTTCCCTCTGAGGAACAAGGCAAGGATGTCACATTCACCC